TGTCAGACTTTGGAAGACCACTGGTGCCCAAGGTGTTCTCTGGCAGCGCAATGGCGAATGTAGGTCCCTCTTTCACTACTACGTCAGTGAAGTGGACCACTTGGACAAGGCCAAAGCTGGTATCCCAATTATAGCCCTTAACAGTGATATTCGGCTCCAGAAAGCCATCAGATGCATCAGGTGGCCAGAGTAGGAGCCTAACAGCCTCATGAAAGGTGACATCCCCAACTTCATCAACACGGACCAGAACTCTTCCCTTGGGGAAGATGATCTCCTGATTTTGGAACCACCAATTGTTCTAGAAAATAAGGCAGTTGCCCAGACCTCACACAAAGAATTGAATTGAGAAACGTGCTTTGTCAAGTGTCTTTCTGAAGATGTAAAGTCTGTTTTTGTATGGCAGGAAGTCCCCTTTCACAAAATTGTATGTGTTTTTGTCTGAGAGACAGAAATGGAGACAGACAGAAAGACGAAGAGACAGAAGAGAGCCCCCTCAGAAGAGAGCTGGTTAAGGTGAGTTTTTGTGCCTTTAAAAAACATTCGGGGCTTTGGGGAGAACGAAGTATTTACACTGTCTCATTCTCCTCGTTGGAAACCTTGGCCCCGTCCTCAGTGTCAGTATCCTTGAACTGGGGTTGGCACGGTGCGTTTTATCGGACGCTGCCACTTCCACGCTCTGTCTTTAGCACGTTGCTTTGCCTGTCAGGGCTGCCATGCTTTTAACCGTAAGGAGAGGAGTCTGGAGTAGATGATCCACCCCAGCTCTGCTGTTTTGCAAATTTCTGATTTCGTACTCGGATGAGTCTGGGATACACCCAGAGCAGTATAAACCAGGCCCTACCTCCTGCCTATTGCTGGGGCACCCCTCAGGTCTGTGCCTTCTACTCAACCCTTTACTGAGCCCAGCTTTTGTCAGGAGCCCAAGTGCGTACCGGGATGGCAGGAGGCTTGTCTCTCGTGGTCACAGTGGCCGACATTTCTATTGGTTGTGCTGAAACAGCTCTTCTGAGATCCTCCGGCCACCCTTGCTCAAACCTGAGGACAGCCACACCATTCCTTTCCTAGGAGGAGGATCAACCCATGGTGAATTTTATGACAATCCTGTCCCCAGGAATGCACGGACGGTTATCAGTTGAGTGAGGGTAGGTGCCTCTGTGTCTCTGTGTCCCTGTATCTCTGTCTGCTCACAGTGCCCTGCCACCAGCTACTGAACAAGAAAAGTGCTATTCACCATGCTATGTGTTTTGCAGATGTGTAGGTGATAGTCGTGTGGCTCGTGTGTGGGCTTTGAGCTGGGATGGTGAAGGCATTATATATACCGCATCAACATGTGTTCGAGGTGGCCTGGTGCCACACAGACTTGATTCATGAAGGCATCAAGCCTGCACA